GAATATAACAGTGTTTAAGATAATAAAATTCTTATGCTAAACAAATGTAATTATTCAATTCAAATTCAATTCAAATTCAAAAATACTTTATTGATCCCAGAGGGAAATTAGGTAATTGAATAGTGGATAAAAGTGAGAAACATTCTAAAAGTCAATTTTTCTTTACATATTTTGTAGCATTGTTTGTGGGTTTGCAAGAGGGTCCCTGGCCAAAAGCTAATACTGTTTGGGGGGGTTATGACATAGAAAAGTTTTGGAACCCCTGCTTTAAAACATCCTCAGACTTTTTTACCTGGTCGCATTTGGAACTCGCAMAACATCCTTATTAACAAATCTTGATTTTTTTTAAACATTGTCTTGATTGTGGCTTGATTTCTTTGCTTTGATTTGTTTATTAGCTTTAAAAAATGTAATTTATAAGCACTTATGATTTTCTTTTCTTTGTGCTGTCAGTCTCCAGGCTTGTGTTTGTACATTCGACCCAACATCATACACTTCCACTGTCCTTACAGTTAGAGCGTTTTGACCAATCACTGGAACTGTGGAACAAGATGGTTCCTCTCACTTTTAGAAAGCTCTTAGTCTTAATAAAAGCAATTCAATGGACTAAATTAGTGTGCAGTTCCAGTGATGCACAGACAAGCAGAACTACTTCTGATTGTTATACCAACTATGAAAAAGATTCCTGTAGTCCAAAAGCACTTACTATTAAATGAGTTTGCCACTGTGTACAACAGCGAGATGCTTTTCAGCACCACTTTGGACCCCCGACACAGAAACCTCACTTCAGCAACTTGAGGCTGAACATGTGAGTCCTCCATCAGTTAAAGTTGTGTTGCAAACAGTAAACGGACTGCTTTTATTCAGCACTTTGATACTACAAACTTCATTCAGACACTCAGCAGATCAGGGACAACGTGGGGTTTAGTATAGCCTGGCCCTTGCCTTCCTATGCAGCTCCGCTCAATTCTAGTTTCCCTTCACTGCTCCATCTGGGACTTCTCCCATAGAGATGGATTTCGCTGGCAGATTTTTAGCTGGGCCAATCAGAGAAGAGAACGTCAATTTTCTGCGCAGTGTCTGCTTGTAGTTTATTTTATCTGGACCAATCAACAAACAGAAGGAGGAGTTTTTGAATGACGTCGATGTTCTGCGCAGTGTCTGCTAGTTATTTTAGCATACGGCAGTGGAGGAAGTGAACGAAGCCAGTCTGTGTTGATAAGGCTTACAAATTAAATTAAAATTGTCTGACAAAGCAGCAGCTCTCTTTTACAGTTGTCTCGTTCGGCTCGGAATATTTCTCCTCTCAGTAGGGTTGTTTACAGCACACGTGATTTCCGGTTAGCTTCTTAGCTTAGCCTCCGTCACAGCGACAACACACACGTGCTTCAGCAGAGGCCACGCCTCCTGCAAGAAACGATTCTCTATGCATCAAGTCCAGACCCTAGTACGAAGCAAAATAAAGGACAGGGTCTGGTTTTAACCAGGCTAGGTTTAGTGGTGTTGTAGTCAAGATCACCTAACCCAGGACCAAGTCAAGACCAAGACTAGAGTGTATCGAGATCAAGACAAGACCAAGACTTTTAGGGGCTGGACCAGGTCAAGACCAAAACCAGAAAGAAAAGGGTAACTAGTGTCCTAAAATATACAGTAGACTGTACTCAGGTAGCTGCTTTAATTTGTAGAGCTAACAATGACTAAATCTCTTTGTGTGAGGGCTGGGTAAAGGATTTTGGTACAGAGACAAATAGTTAACGTTAGCTATCTGGCTTACACATAGCTTCATGGTTTATCTAGCCAAATTGTATTACTAAAGATTTTGCAGACATTATCCCGCTCCCAGACAACCACTGCTCACTTTCTTAGTCTGTCAGGTTTGAGTTAAAAGAGGTGGGGATGGGTGAGCTCTAACAAAAATACATAATTAGCACGRAGTCAGGCTTGGATTTGAATTAGTACATCATCCAGTGAAGCAAGGATGCCAACAAATGAATTGGACAAGTCTCTGCAATACATAGGGGTACTTTCTTGTTGARTGGGTGGGGTCTTTATCCTAACCGTGATTGGTGGGGTTGGTGTGTGTGTGGAGTTTGCTTTACCCGTGAATGGTGGAGTTTGTATAATAGGTGGAGGTTTGCTGTGGGTGGAGCTAGGCAGTGACTGGTTGGTTGACGTCTTGAATAAAAAAAAGGTAATGGTAATAGTAAAGTTTTGTGAGATGAGGTGAAATATGATTTATTGACTTGATTAGGGCTGTTTAGGCCATGCCGAAATGTTACACGCCCCTCCACATGTACAGCGTTCAAATTTCGTGCAACTAGCTCCTTCCTGTCTCGAGTTACGACCAAAATGAATATTCATATTTTAAAAATATAGGTGTTTCCTGGCTGTTTTGGCAAAGCTACTCCCAGCTGCCACCAGCTTCTTTAAATCCCACCCAAAATATTCAATTTAACCAATCGCGTCTTTAACAAACTACACCCACAAAAGTCAAACAGACCAATCATGTCTTGGACAAACTCCTCCCACAAAACAAGAAACTCCTACTTAGTGACTTCTGAGTAACTCTTCTCCAATACTCTGGCAAGATGGGATATTTCCACAGTTCTGGTCTTCACTGTTCTTGAAATAAAACCATGAGTCCTCGGTGACCAGRACAAGACCAACTAAGACCATCAAAACGTGAACTTAAGACCAGTCTCAAGACCATGACTGGTCTTGAGTACTACAACACCAGGGTTTAGTGTCTTGGTGGGGAAACAGCCAATCAGAAGGCTGGAACTTTGATCACAGATGTCTACTCTTCATCCTGAGCTGTTAAAACAGTTTGCCCTGAACAATGTTGTCTCTAAAGTAAATTGTTTTATTCTCCCCTCTGCTTGTAGGTATCGTAGAAGACTACAAACCACCTTTTCACGACGTGGTTCCAACCGACCCGAGCTTTGAAGACATGAAGAAGGTTGTGTGTGTGGATCAGCAGAGGCCCAACATCCCAAACAGGTGGTTTTCAGACCAAGTAAGTTAACACCCAAACGGTTACTTGAATATCTACAAACTACAAGCAAAAGTTGGAATACACTCAGTTTTCTTTTTCTTCTAACTTTTAGACTTTAACTTCTTTGGCGAAACTCATGAAGGAGTGTTGGTACCAGAATCCATCAGCCAGATTAACGGCACTTCGCATCAAAAAGACTCTCACCAAGATCGACAACTCTCTGGATAAAATCAAAACGGACATCTGAGCCTTACTTAGAAAGCAGAGTCCCTTCCAGAGGATGGACTGTCTTAAGTAAATCACAAGAGAAAAGACTTGATGGGTTTGGTGCCCTTATAGAGGCACAGACCTGTATTTATTTTAAAACACTTGATGGGACTCATTTTGGCATCCAAAGAAGGCCTGTTGGGCATTTCATTTCTGAGACGGCCCAGTGGTCTTAGAAAAAGGAAAGTATCTGTTATGACATAGGAGCTGGAAACATTCTTCAAGGAAGAAACTGGTAGCCAGGCATTTGCTTGTTTTTGTTAGTTGTGCACATTTTGTTTCGACACATTTTTCAATTTAAAGTGTATCTTAGCTTATTTTGACAAGCTAACATTTCTGATCATTCTAAACAAATTATGTTTTGTAAAAAGTAAAGTTTCATGACACACACACAATGATTCATGACATGTTTCATTTAAAATGATCAAGTCAGCTCAGTCTGGGACTGACTCTCTCCCGGAATCAGGACACGAAGCTCTTTACCGCAGCCTCGGCTGAGCTCTGTCCGCCCCACACCACACCAGCCCTGGACAGAGGAGGTGGAGTGCCCTGACAGCCTGACAGAAAAAAACAAAAGCATRCAGCTGCAGATGCTCACAAGATAACTAGTTTAGATCAGGAATAAAAGTGTTGGGTCTTGTTTGACTGAAGTTCGGGTCCGGTTCGAGCTGTTTTTCATTTCACAATGACGAGATGATTGCCGACTTGCAGCTGTCAGTCACTGCCCCGCTGCGACACTCTGCCTTTTTTTCCCCTCCTCCCGCTGTCCTCCCGTGTCTTCTACACACACTTTCTTGTTTACCCATTTCTGCAGGACGTACAGCGGGCTGGGGTATGCGTGTCTGTGTGTGTGTATGTGAGCAGCGCAGCAGTCAGCTCTCTCCATGAGGCTGAAGGAGAGTCAACAGACCAGACGATCATGCTATGCTAGCTCTTCCACCCCCTGACTGTTGCAGGGGCGTGTCTTAGAGAGAGGCTTTTATATCAGAACACGGCACGGCCGCTGTGACGAAACCGTGGAGAAGACACGTCATCGTGAAGAGTGTTAACCAATATGCAAATTAGCCTGCAGTACCACTGCTCAAACCATATGAGCAGCAAAAAGACGTTTTTATACCAAATATTACAGATTTGAACAAATGCGCACAAAAACATCAAAATTAGCACAGAAACAGTACTATATAACATTTTAGACACATTCTAGACAGTTTATCAGCTAAAAAAAATTAATTTAGGGTAAGTTCCTCTTTAAAAAGACATCTGAGCGTAATAGTTTTCTGCCTATTCGTTCTTTTGCAGTACAGTGGATTCATTTAGAAAACAGGCCCGACTGAGAACTAGTTTGTTTAATATATATAGTTTTTTTAACAGTGATCACTGTAAATGTTCTGTTTTTCATTGTGCACAGTTTACAGTGCTGTGAGAGGAAACATCTTGGGATTTTTATCTGCAGTGTAACATTCAGTTGTACAGGTACGCTGGCTGGCACTTTTCTTTCGCTGTTATATCGTTCAGTTAATGGTTCTCTGTTGCAAACTTTAATGTATCACCTTGACTTTTAGCCAGTCTGCTTCATTTCTTCAGCTTTACAGGATAAAAAAAAGGGTCAAATAAAGTATCTGATTTTTAAAGCTGATTTCTTTTCTTCTTTTAGGTGAGCCTGAATGCCATCTTAATGCAAGTAAATGCAGTTAAACTTGCCCACTTTTCTATTTCTTAAAAACTTAGTGATTTCTGCTAATTAAATAGAAACAAGAAAACATCCATCTGCCTCGTTTGTCTTGATGCTATGTAGTAAATGTGCAGATTGGCCTTAAAAAGTATCATTTTCTCATTAAAGAGGAATGCTTGTTAAACAAAATTCAGTTAAAGAAAAAAAATCTGACTTTCACTGGAGGAATTTAATCAACTTTATTCATTACTTCACTGTAACCTTTTGTTATTAGCTGCAAAAATTACATTTTTTTCCGTATACTAATATTTACAGCCCTAAACGACAGATTCTTTGGCAAAAATCAAAAATCCCATCAGCATCAGTGTTCAAAACTCTTTTAGTTATCCACTTAATTATTTAACTTCAGTGTATATGACTTCGTCACCCATCGATCGACAATTTATCATCAAAACGTAAAAATATTCTCTCTAAACTTTAACAAAAATCTTTTCAGCTGACTGCTCCAATCCTTGATCTTTCAGCTTCAGCGAATTCAAGACAACCTGTTGGAATTATTTCCAATCAAGGATTTTTCTTTCACCTTAAAAATATTAAAAATAAACTCTACATCTGCCCCTGTGAACAAAGAGGTTTTTTTTTAGGCTTTTTTTTTTTTTACTTTTAAAGCTTTGAGTTGAAACTGCCTGGAGATTTCTCAGCGTTTGTCAAACAAAAACTAGATTTCTCACTCAGTCAGATAAAATATTATATACGAAGAGAGAAACCATGTTTAACGATCCTGAACGGTCGCGCTCACATTTACCTGCAGCTGTCAGACTTTCTGCTCAGACGCTCTTCATATTTATCATCATCTGATCCATCTGGATCCATCTACAGAGGTTTGGCTGCCCGTTTTAAAGTTGAAATCTAGGATTAATGTACAGATAAAGTCCTGTGTAATGTTGAACATGGAGAAAATCCTGGAATCCCTTAAGTTTGCCATGAATATATAGGAAATAAAGCATGTTTGCTACTTAAACTGTGCTGCTGTGGGGTATTTGACACAGCTTGGTTCACTTCTTTAGTCTGTCTGGTGACATTGGCATGTATTGTTGYCATGGAGCCTGAGCAACAGAAGCACGACTTTACGTCACACGTGGGTTGCAGTAGATAACTTGTTGTGTACAGGTGAGTTGAGCTGTACGCGTGTGCAAACGTACAGCAAACTCAGCCAGTCGATTCTTAAAAGCAGAGTGTTTTGTCCTCATTCCTGCTGTCCTGAGCGTCGGGCTCGCATCCTGGGAGAGACGTTGCAACAGCAGCTGTGGTGCAAGAAGACTGGGCCTCTGGCTGGAACACACGACTGCACAAACATGACGATACTTCAGGCGACACAACAAGACTGAAGAGGTGGGATGACGTAAAACCACCCGAAACAAAAAGTGGGACAAACATTTCAGAGAATGATAAACAGCAAAATAAAAAAATTGACCTATTAAACACTGTGAAAGCATAATAAAAAATAAATAAAATGAAAACACTGAAAAACGTTTTCAGAGAGCTCAACCAATTTAAACGCTCAAACATAATGGAAACTAAAACAAAACAACTGACAAATTCATCAATTAAACAAAGAAATCTAATTAAATGCGAAAAACTAACATTTGAATTGACAGAACACTAAAAAATTGAAAAAGTTAAAAAGTGAACTTTTTAAGAGCTTTTTTGTGTATTTCAAATAATGTCATTCACCAAACTGCCCTGTTTATTCTAAAAGTTGTCCTGATGCATCTCAGTAATCCAGGTAAAAAATCAAAAAGAAAAAAAATTGTATAGGTCTTCTGGACGGGTTCTTCTCTAATGAAACGTTTCGTCTCTCCTCCGAGAGACTTCTTCAGTCTGAGAGTTTAAAGAAGCCATTTTTGTGAAGAAAGACCGTCCATCATTAAACAGAGGTGGAGGCCTCCGTTTTCAGC